TAATTATTAACAAATCGGTAAACATCGCGAAACGATAGTCGATCGATCACGATTTAATCATGCTCCCTTTATATGCAAATTCGTCGAATTCATCTTGTCCCGTGTGTGTATTCTATTCATTGTCCTACGGCGATCGATAAGGTTTGATAAAAATGGGAAGAAAACGTGAATCGTTGCTGGTTGAAGTTTTCGAAGAGAGGAAATAGTTTTCGATGCGAGCAATTTCACAATTACGAAGGATTGCGTGTGTCTATCGAGCCGTTTACCAATTATCGAGGGCTGCCACGGAAACCAAAATGAAATCGTTCGTTATTTTCGCGCAGGCGTCGTCAGCGTCGCGACGCGGCGACGTCCCTTACCGAGAGGAGCCGACAGAGACGCTGCACTCGTTTTGCAACAACTTGCACACCAGTCTAGAAATTGCTCAATTTTGCAATGGGAAAAATTGAAGGTGAATGTCGTTCACCAAGGAAATTTATTACCCTAATTTGAAAAAAATTAACTGCACAATAATTAGTAGGTGTAACAAAATTATATGTAAAATATGGCGTGTTAAAAAATATTTAAAAAAATCAACTTTGGAGTATAATAGAGATTAATGAAATTTTGTATAGTTTGAGATATTTGAGATTTTATGAGTATCGTGTAGAAATAATTTTCTAAAAGAATAAAACGGTGGTTGTTGGGGTAAATGGATTTTTCGAGACACCGATAAAAATGTTTCACAAAAGCCTCTATGCAACGAGCATTTTTAGACACTGAAAAAACCACCAGTACTTGCCCTTTTTTCCCCATCTTTCAGCCGGGATGCCTACTTGTTGCGGGGTCGAGCGTTATTGATTAGTGGAGAAGGACGGGAGGAGCCAGAGGGAGACGAACACTCCTCCACAGACATGAATGGTTGTGGTCCACAGAGCCAGATTTTGAGCTTGACCCGGATTCGTCACGCTGGAGTTCACGTTACCTTCACTTTCGTTGCTCGCGTTGTAAGCCAGCGTGAAAAATCGAGAGTGAAACAGTGGCAGCCGGCCAAAATCAGCATCGTCATTATCCTACGCTGTATCGAGAAACGTTCTACCAAAAGCAACTAAGGAAAAGAAAAAAGTGTTACCTACATTCCGAAATTGAAAATACTGCTATCTAATTACCAAAAAAATCACGATCTTGAACATCCCCTGAAAAGCATTCTTCGAGGTAAAAACAAAATCCCCCAGAAAAAGGAGAAATCTCTATAGAAATTTCCTCGAAGGAAACAATTTCCCTTCGAGGCCGAAGAGGGAACACCTCGAATATTCAACGTGCAACCTTCACCGTTGTAAACGCAATTAACCCTGCAATCAGTGGCGCAATCAGTGATCTCAGGACACCGGTAACCGGGTGACATTTAAAAATCCGTCGAAAGGGACGGTGAAACGTACAGAGAGAGAGAGAGAGAGAGAGAGAGAGGCGAGAGAAGAAGAAAAAAAAGAGGAGAAGAAAAGGGAGAGGTCCTTCGGAGGACCTGCAGGTCGCACAGGCGCACCAGCGGCCGTGTTTCACCCCCGGCGAGCGTGTGCGAGTGCGCAATGAAGGCCTGGCCTGGCCTGAGGGAGTGTAGGCTCGGCGCAGTCGAGTGGCTTTGGCCGAGTGCGAGCGGCGTTTTCACGTTCTGTGCTGCGCGAGTTCCATTCACGAAACCGACCTGTTCGAACACCCCCCTCGTGTGCAGAGGAAGGCTCGAGGCGTGCACTCGTCGAGCCACTTGTGTCTATTGAAGACGTGTCGTACGGGAGATATCGAGAGACCGAGGGGGTTTTCTCACGCAGTACAGGCGTGTCTGTCGCGACGGTTGCTCGATTTCGCGGCTCTCGTGTACGGTGCAAGGTTGTCTGCAGGCGCAAACGGGTGGCGTGGTTGGAATAGTTCATTTCGGGTTATCATAGTAACGGGGCTTTTGCCTTTTTTCTTCTCGTTCGGGTTTGTCGGCGTGGAGAGAGATGTTCGGAAGGTGAAACGTTGTTGACAGGGGGAAAAATATCGTCGTCGCGAGTGTACGGTGGATTATGCGTGATCGTGGAACCGAGAAAGTGAGGTAAAAGTGTTTTTTCGGGGCAAAAGCGGGCCGGCGAGCGAGGGGGCTCCGGGACTCGAGCAACAGGTAATTTAAAAGCTGCCTTCGCAACCGGGGCACCGCTTTTGGTGCTTCTGCTTCAACGCTGGCCTGAGATGGTTGATTGTTGTCGCGGGGGTAGATTATGCAATTTACGCGCGGCTTCTTGGGTGGTAATGAGACGCGGATGATTCTTCCCGGTGGATGAAGGAGAGAGGAAATTTCATTTTTGTTTTTGTGCAAGTTTTTTTTTTGTGTTGCTTTATGAGTAAATGCTTTGATACGACTTAGGTTTATTAATATTCGAGGAGGATGTTGGACTGTGCCTTTTGTGTTTGTTCAACGCGTACAGGGTGTTGAAGAGAAATAGTTGAAAGATTATTCGTGTAGAATTGAAACTGTCAATTGGTCGAACATTGTAAATTTATAAATAAACGTTTCTGTGTTAGACATATGAAATTGATGAAAATGCGAAATTACAATTCTTACACAAATTCTTAATTATTGATATATTTATACCGGAGTTTAGTGTTTCACACGAAACATTGGTATAAATAACGTTATTGAAAAGGTTTCACATAAACTCTAATACAGTTCACATTCTTTTTTTTTTAGATAAAATACCCTTTCAAATAAAAGTCACTATAATCCCTCTAAATGCTATTATTATTCAAACATTTAAAGCCTACTCACACGATGCACCTTTTATTTAAAAAATGCTTAATTAATTAAACAACTTTACCTAGCTTACAAAATTCGATTATTTTCAATGCTCTAATTATAATCAAATATCCGAAAAAATATAAATAACCAGTGGAATTAAATTAACTCCAGTTCAAGTTGAGTAGCTATTAAATTACACAACTCAAATCAGAATCATTTTACATGTGTAAAATACGCAAATTATGATTTTTTTGCAAAACTGCGTTCGATCCCTTCTTTTTCGAATTTCAACCGAATTCACAGAGTCCTCATATCGAATCGTGCAACGATGTTGCGTAAATTATTCGCGCTGCTTAAAGGTCGAACGTAAATGAAAGTTTATCGCCAGCCAGGGACGAGGATTAAAGGGGTCTCCTGCTGCAAGTAGGTTAACTACATCGTAGATAACAGGTCTCGTTACACGGAGGGGTAGTTAAGTCTTTCGTCAGGGGGTGATTTATCGATAGACTTGCAGATTTCCCTATCGGATAAAGGAAAGTGCATTTCGTCCATTAAAGCGTGCTCTCGCGTCGCTTTTTCTTCATCAACTCTTAACGTGCTCGCCTCGTTGGACGCATTAGGGCCATTCATGCGGGAACTCCCGCTTTTCGCCGAGTAGCCTTTGTTTAATAGTCTCCTTCTTTTATAGTTCTTCTTGGTAATTACAGTTCCTTGGTAAAAATTGACAGAAAATCATTTTTCTAATTTAGTACCAAAAATTTAAATAAATTAATATCTACCTCTAATTAAACAGAGAAATAAGTGTACGTATTAGTTTGAAACCATTCCTAAGAAATATAGGAATTAAAAAATTGGAATAAATTAAAAAACTTTCCAGTGCTAAAATGCACTGCATAGAAAATAAAACAAGTTGTTATTAATATGTGTAGCATTTATTTTAAACCAATAAAAATAGTAAGTAAATTCGATATTGATTTTCATGAATTATGCAAATATCTCTGAACTTTTAGCCAGCAGAGTGGAAATAAATGGAATGATTCTTTATGGAAGATTGACCAGGATGTTTTTAATTTGATGTTAAATGTTTCGATGTAATAATTATACTTGAGCTTAAATGAATATTCCGCTGATGTTTAAATAACTTCCTGGATAAGTATTTATCTGTTCTTAGAATTTGATTGCATAGGAATAAATTGCAGAATAAAAGTGGTAAATTAAATTAAGGCTAATTATTCGAAAACAAACAAGTGTTTACGCACGAAATGATTTTCCAGTTATTCGTTTGCTGTATGCGAAACATTAATGTGTACGATATACAGTGTGTTGTTGCTATCCCAGATTTATCACAAATTCACCTAATTACGCCTTTGAAAAGGGTCACGATATTTTCGTTCCTCGTCAATGCTCGCAGATGTTAGAAATACGGTGAATGTTATTTTTATCATGCCGTACTAATAATACTGGTGCTCCTATTATATGAGTAGTTTGATAGGTGTTTAATCAAACTTGAAGTAAATTGTTACTGTTACCGATTTTCAAAAATAAACGAAGTTGAACGAATGTATGAGAAATAAGTGAAATTAATGAAGAAGTGAAAATTAATAAGCGAAAACTATTCTCGCTTTGCTGAAGCGTTACGGTTGTAAACAGTGGAAATTGAAGCGTAATCTCATAAGCAAAAAAGTTCAGATATGTAATTTACTATGGATAAAAAGTTTCTGTTAATTTACTAATAAAATTTGTAATTTTAAGGTTTATTTTAAGTTGAATAAATTCACTTCAGGATCGTGTGTTCGCTTTCGTGCAATTTATGCAGATAAGTGATACCCGAGTTTTTAGGATAATTACTGATTACTTTTTTCAATTGTAAAGTATTCTTGATACAGTAACGAAAATAGTGTATGTTTATTTTTAAAATAGCTCTACGATTTGAGGCTTGTTTATCAAATTCAAAGTTCGGCAAACTATCTGACAGGTTTTCACATTCAGAGTGGCCCACGCAAGTGGACCGAATTATACCTCGAAAATGGTAGAAGTTAGAAATTTTTCCAGACGAAATGAAATTTTCGTTTGGAAAATACCGCCGTTATTTCTAATTTCCTGTAACAGCAGAGAATTTTTTGCTATTTTACGATTCCGTGTCTCTATATCGTTTTATCAAGCAGCAAAGGTGAATCTGAGAATAGAAAAGCGGAACTGTATTTTTCCTAGAGACAGGTGTTACATGTGAATGATTTCCCAGGAAAATACGAGCTCGATGCCGGAGGCTTCAGGGTCGGAGGTGGCCGAAGAGCCGGATTATTCGATTTTCGAGAATAAGACCGGCTTGGCCGAAGACATGAAGTTTCTGGCTAGTATGCCGGAACTATGCGACGTGACCTTCCTCGTCGGTAGCACCAAAGAGCCTATATGCGCTGTGAAGGCTGTTTTAGCGGCCAGAAGTAGGTTGGTATCTCAAGTAATATTAATATCTCTAAAAATAAAATAATAAAAAGTAATTTTCTCCTAGAAACAAACTTGAAGTATCACAAATTTATCGTTCTACTGAAAATTTCGTCGGTTTACTGGTAAAAGACACTAATTTCAAGTGAATGTGTACCTACTATCTTTCAGAAATTGAATTTGAAGCTTTCGTTTTTCATGAAATAAATCTAGATTAAATTACTTAATTTAAAAAATTATTCTCTCCTAGAAACGAACTGAAAGTATCACAATTTTATTGCCCTACTGAAAATTTCGTCGGTTTACTGGTAAAAGACACTAATTTCAAGTCAATATGTATTGCCTTTCAGAAACTGAATTTAGAGCTTTTGTTTTATATGAAATAAATTACTTAATTTAGTACAAAAATCTTTTATTTATTTATACTGTATGTAAGGAGGTAATTTTTATGTTCTTCTCCTCTGTAAAGTAAAGACAAGCATTTTTTGATTTAGTGTCTAACAGTATATGATTTATTCTTCTGTACAGAGTGTTTCACCTAATTCTGTCACCTGAAATATTTCTGCTGTGCTTAAAATTTCATAAAAATGCTTCGTATAGGTCATTGCATTTGTCTCTAACCCTTTCGTGACCAGTGCAACACACATGTCCCATTTGAGTGCTCGAAGAAAACTTGCTCTAGATTTAGTATCTACTATAGACACTGTGATCGGTATATAAATAAGAAATTCGTTAAAAAATCAATGCAGTCACGAAAGGGTTAAAGTGGCCCTCGAAAATATAAAATTCCATAGGAAAAAATGAATCGAACATTCTTGTATCACTTTAACCCTTTCACAATAGAATAAACCTATTCCTATAAAATTTTAAATACAGCAGAATTATTTCAATAGATAAAGTTCAGTAGAACACCTCATACATTCAGAAATCACATTCAATGTTCCCAATGCTCGAAACAATAAAACACGATATTCTAATTCAGAAAAAAGAAGCTCAAAATTAAAAAAAAATTTATTTTTCTAAATATCAATAAACCATTCACCTGAAAATCATTTGTATGTATTTAAATGTGTGTCAAAAGTCCATAGAAGAATATTAAACATGATATCTCTTCTTTTTAATAATATCTTTTTTGTCAACAATTTCCAAGAAAGTGAAACAGCTGAAACAACGTGATTTCCTTTGCTCAGAGTGTTTCAGAAGCTGTTTTACCAAGCACCAAGTCCGCAACGTAAAAAGGAACCGCCACCTCGAGAGAACAAGATCCGGCTGTTTCTGAAGAGAAGCTCCGAACCGCTGTTGAACCTGCAAAACGCGACGCAACAGGTAATTGTAACCGTTGCTGATAGATCGCTTGTTCGTAACTCGTTCTTGTTAATTTTGAGAGAGTGACACTGTCGATTTGCAACACGAGAAAATGGAAATGTCAGAGATATTTGTTATTAAAGTTGAAGGGATTAAAATGTGGGTAGTGTACACTTGTGACATTTGCAATATGTTATACAAAACGATCACGCCTACAAAGAATACGCGCGTACACGTTCGTTCAATTTTGCAAATGTTAAATCGCTGATCGATAAGTGGAAACATTCAATTTCGAGGCTTTCAACTTAAGAGTATTACCATGTCAATGTTAATTGGTACAAGTACGATACTAAAAGCTCGAAATTCTATTACAGCTCCTTTCATCGAGCGTTCCTTTTGATATTATTATTGAATATTGTTGGAAGTAAAATGGAACATCTTTGGAGAGTTATTTTTATTTCGTGCAATAATAACGATAATAATATTTTCAGGCATCCACGTTAATGTCGACCATGTTCAGTTGAAAGTCGCTAATAACAGTTTTGGGGGAAAATAATTTAAGCAGTTTCTGCTGCGAATGACTTAAGTAGTTTCTGCTATCAAAATGTAATTATTGAAGGGTAAACACGAAGGGCAAAATATTCTGTAAATTTAATAACCAGAAATCTGTTTTTCAATAAAAATTCATTAACAAAGTGTAGTCCTCAAAAGTAAATCGATTTTTGTGAAATTTATGTATGATTTAGTCCTCACAAAAATATTTGGCACGTATTTTTCTTTACACGTTGAAATCCATGTTGAAGTGTTGAAAAACATTCCTCAAAGTTGAGAACACAGCATATTTTATAGCACATAAAAGTCACCGATTTTTATGAAATTTACGTATGATGTAGCGCTCAAAAAAATATTTGACACGTATTTTTTTCTACATGCTGAAATCCACGTTGAAGTGTTGAAAAACATCTCTCAATGTTGAGAACAAGGAGCACATTTCATTGCATATCTCGAGAACTATTAGGTTTAGAAGAATGGTCCAAATACAGAAATTGATTATTTTTAAACAAGGAATTCAGCTGTGCGAACAATTTCTGAAAAAGTTAATTTCTTTAAACAATACCTTGCAAATGATTATATTTTTGACATTCACTAGATATTCTTTCTATAAAGCAGCACTAATAGTATCTCTAAAAATGACTAAAAATACTTTTAATTATACTTTCAGTGAACCTGATTTTTCACAGCAAACTATTACATAACTTCCCCCTGCGATTTCTCAATTTAACAAAACTGTTGTATAATGAATTTTAGCTGAACATGGGCTTCGGTTGAAACACGTTGCAGTAGAAAATTTCATTAGGCGTACACTTTCCAATAATAAATACATTGTCCAGTGCTCGAACACGTCGTCGTTAAAATGATAGAAATAGTAAGTGTGCGTTTGTTGTGTGCCGTGTAGCGTTCGGGGTTCGCGCAGCAGTTGGCCCCCATACAAGAGGTATTATGAACGTCAATTCTCTGTACGATAATTGCATTCGAAAGTCTTTCACTCGTCGATTTCCTTCTCTGCCCCACTCGCCCCCCTTAATTTTTCATTCTTTGCTCGTAAAACGCCTACTACTTCCTCTGTTCCCCCTTTAACTCTCAAGTATACGAAGAACGAGAAGGATCGAGGATAACGATGAGTCCTTGATTCAATCTCGATGTCTCCTCGAATGTTTCATTCGGAAACTTTCTTTACTTTTGAGAATCTGTTAGTTAGACGGATTGGCCTGTTTCTCTCACGCTGTTTCGATATGTGATTCGTGTGGTAGATATGCCAAGTGAATTTTCGTCACGGTGGAATTATTCTGTACGATTGCATGAAAAATCGACGTACTAGTATCGCGAAGAAAGAATTGTGATTGTGTTTTTCAACACCTTCGCTGCCACTGGCAAATCGATAGCACGCTGAGTGATACATTGTGGGCCGCATACGCTGCGTCGGTGGCAGCGAACGTGTCGAACATTGTTAAATTTTCTGGTCGAAGAGATTTCAGATGAATTATAATGCAAAAGACTGATTTCCTTTTAATAAAATAATTTTGGTAACTTTACGTTATTACTGACATTTTAGTTGGTGAAAAAGTAGCTCTTTCACGATAATAGTGCGTAATCTGAACTTGTTAATATTCAACAGGATGCATCCTCATTTCAATGCGTTAATTGCAGTTATTTAATTGCATACGTTCAACATTAATAATAACATTATTGTCACATTAAATTGTCACCTTTCCTTTCTTATAGTTATTTAATAGAACGATCACTTAACTGTGCACCTAATTTTTTAAATCTTCAGTAACTTGCCATTCGGTTGATTCCTTCCCGTCACAATTTATTTTCTATATTCTCCCATTTATTTACTTCACCCGTATCTATGTAATTGTCGTTTTTTTTTATTTATCCACGTTTAAATTACCTACGAAAGCGATAGAGCGCAATCACAATCTCATCTCTACGTTGCTCGAATTCTGTTCACTTTCTCCCCGCATCACCCTCATTTGTGAACCCTTACAAGTGCTATCACGATGCATCCTGTGCAATTCAAATCCGTGTAGATGTTAACGTGGCATTCACCATTACAGTCTCTATCTCTTTCAGCAGGCATGCAACTTTTGAATTGACTATACACAGTCCGGAGTACCGTGGACATAGACAGTCGCGTGTGCGGTACATTTATCGGGAAATTTGCAATAGCTGTAGATTCGCACGATCATAATTCTCCTTACTCGATGACGGCACAATTCGATTCCTGCAAATTCTGCATATTCATAGTCGTGTGGAATTGAAAATGATGTGGTAGACGCACTGTAGTTTGCTATGAAAGTCTGCACTCGCGCGAATCTTTCGCGGTATTCAAATGATTTGTGAGTTTTCATCGATGCTTACTTGCGATTGGTGATGGATAATTCAATTTGAAAGAGATTAAAATGAAATGTAAACAGTGCACCGTGTGTAGTGTGTCAGTAACAACGAGCATTCCTGGTAAGTTAGATGTTTCGAGGAATGTACATTCCGAATGATACGTTGAGCCGATGTTGAGTACTCAATGTGTGAAAATGTTTTCGTATCCATCACTAAATGCATCGAGCTGATCACTTGGCATGAATCTTCGATTTTAATTGATTTCGCGTTCCTGTGAGTACATGAAGTTTCTGGTAAATCACAGCCGAATCAACATCATACCGTGACCATCGAAGAATTCGAGCCGGACGTGTTTCGTCAGCTGATCGAGTACATTCATACTGGATCCGTGACGTTGCAGCCTAGAACGTTATTAGGTAACTGTTGCTATTAATTAATATTTTATGGATCTTCAAGAATTTAATTGAAATACTTCCTGTACTTTCATTGTTAAGAAGAAAAGATATATTTTATTAAATTCAAATTTCATTCAAAATTATTTTTACTATTCTTTATGAAATTTTATAAATTTGAAACAATTATTTCTAATAATAAGAACGAATTGTTAATGTTAAATAGTTATAGCAGGGGTGACAATGTTTTCAATTTATATTCTTCAAGGAAATGTCAACTTTATGTAATTTTGACATTTATTTTCTATATTCTCTCATTTATTTACTTCACCCGTATCTATGTAATTGTCGTTTTTTTTTATTTATCCACGTTTAAATTACCTACGAAAGCGATAGAGCGCAATCACAATCTCATCTCTACGTTGCTCGAATTCTGTTCACTTTCTCCCCGCATCACCCTCATTTGTGAACCCTTACAAGTGCTATCACGATGCATCCTGTGCAATTCAAATCCGTGTAGATGTTAACGTGGCATTCACCATTACAGTCTCTATCTCTTTCAGCAGGCATGCAACTTTTGAATTGACTATACACAGTCCGGAGTACCGTGGACATAGACAGTCGCGTGTGCGGTACATTTATCGGGAAATTTGCAATAGCTGTAGATTCGCACGATCATAATTCTCCTTACTCGATGACGGCACAATTCGATTCCTGCAAATTCTGCATATTCATAGTCGTGTGGAATTGAAAATGATGTGGTAGACGCACTGTAGTTTGCTATGAAAGTCTGCACTCGCGCGAATCTTTCGCGGTATTCAAATGATTTGTGAGTTTTCATCGATGCTTACTTGCGATTGGTGATGGATAATTCAATTTGAAAGAGATTAAAATGAAATGTAAACAGTGCACCGTGTGTAGTGTGTCAGTAACAACGAGCATTCCTGGTAAGTTAGATGTTTCGAGGAATGTACATTCCGAATGATACGTTGAGCCGATGTTGAGTACTCAATGTGTGAAAATGTTTTCGTATCCATCACTAAATGCATCGAGCTGATCACTTGGCATGAATCTTCGATTTTAATTGATTTCGCGTTCCTGTGAGTACATGAAGTTTCTGGTAAATCACAGCCGAATCAACATCATACCGTGACCATCGAAGAATTCGAGCCGGACGTGTTTCGTCAGCTGATCGAGTACATTCATACTGGATCCGTGACGTTGCAGCCTAGAACGTTATTAGGTAACTGTTGCTATTAATTAATATTTTATGGATCTTCAAGAATTTAATTGAAATACTTCCTGTACTTTCATTTTTAAGAAGAAAAGATATATTTTATTAAATTCAAATTTGATCCAAACTTATTTTTACTATTCTTTATGAAATTTTATAAATTTGAAACAATTATTTCTAATAATAAGAACGAATTGTTAATGTTAAATAGTTATAGCAGGGGTGACAATGTTTTCAATTTATATTCTTCAAGGAAATGTCAACTTTATGTAATTTTGAAGCGATTGAAAATTATTTCTGATAACTTGCCCAATAGTGTCTGATTAAGTTGCAAATTTTTAAGTTCATTTCCAGTGAAGCCTTTAACGGTTGTAGTTTTTCAATGATTTTAATAAACTTCCTGTCGCTTCACAGGACTAATGAATGCTGCGGATTTTTACGGATTGGAGCAACTCAGGAAAGCTTGCACTGGATTCGTGCAATGTTGTATTACAGTGGACACCGTGTGTGCTTTATTAGCGTCAGCTGAACGATACATTCAGTACAAATGCACAAAATCCTTGGTGCAGAAGGTAAAATTGCACAAACTTGTATTCGAAAATTTTTCTCATCTTCTTCATAACAACACGCAAGTTATATTTTTCCCTGCTGAGATAGTGCGCGTTCAAGGAAATAACAAAAATAATAATACTTGTACTTTATACTGAAGAGTACACCTGAAAATGAAATTGACGTGAGAAATTTACCTAAATCCAAGAGATTACGCACTATTTTACCGGTATCGATACTGATAACGATATGTGTGTACACATTTCACGCAATCTGACACTCGTAGATGTTAGTGATAAGCGAGATTCACGAAACAATCAACGTTATCTGTTTCAATATCAAAGAAGGCTTGGCACTTAGTATTTCGAATAAAAATCTCATCGATATGGTGTTCGATGATAGCATCGTATTTTTGTTGTTTCTCCTTGACACGATCATGTATCGTTCGATACACGTGACTCGATTGCTTAATATAAGGCCAGATAAGATGTTATCAATTTTAAGAGAGAGAGAAATTATATCGTTATAATTTTTCAAATATCAGAAAGATATGTTATCAATTATTTCTAAGTGTCGATGCCTTTTACTTTCTTCTTCACGTCAAATGAAAATTTAGTATTGTTATTAATAATTTTATAAAGAGAGTAACATGCAAGCCGATATATTTGAAGTAATAATTTAAAATTTGTTATGAAAATTAAGGTGTTATTCTCTTCATCCGTTAGAATATTATATTTTCTTATGATTCTCAATCGCAATTAGGTCAGAATGTGATCAAATTTTTTAAGGAAAAATGAAAATGATTTTTTAAATTCAAACAAAGATTACACTTAGATTTCCAAACAGTAACTTGTCAAGAATTGTACGAATTTTAAGTTAATATGAAAAAATTCAACACTCAAATAATCAACACTTGAAGGACCAATTTTGGAATGATTAGAAATTCAACATTTCATATTACACAAACAAACATTAATTTAAGACATTTAAATGGTAGTATAAAAGTATTGAAAAGTATAATAATCATTTCCTGCTTGAATTCAAAGGTGCTGGAGTTTGTCGACGAACATGGCAACGAAGTGTTGAATTTAGGATCTTTCACCCTACTCCCTGAACATGTAGTTCGTTTAATCCTGGCAAGAGAAGAGTTACGAGCTGACGAATTTACCAAATTCCAAGTATGTGTGAATTCCATTTGCAATATTTTCGACCAATTGAATCAACCTACATATGTTAATCATTTAATTTTATTTCCTTACGAACATATAACTTTCTATTTAAAAAGAAAACAATATTTATAGTCATTCCAATTTTTACAATAAATCCTATTATATTTAATTTTGGCAATAAATTCAGATATATCCAATTTTACAATTTTTGCAATAATTTCTGATATATCCAAATTTCCATTATTTAAATAAATCCTGATGTATCCAATTTTCCAATTTTTACTCTAAATCCTGTCGCAGATTCAACTTTTAAAATTCGTTATCGTCTCTGCTTTTACTAGGCGGCCTTGATGTGGAGCAAGAAATACTGCGACGGTAATCAGAATCAAGATCTGAAGAACGTGATAGGGAATTTTCTGGAGTACATACAATTCCATAAAATTCCTGCGAACGTGCTGATGAGAGAAGTGAATCCTCTGGGTCTGGTACCATCTGAGACCATAATGACAGCGTTGGCCTATCAGGTGCGCCTTGTATTTAACACAACGATCGAATTATACGTTAACATTATTCATTTTTATTTTATTCGCTCTCGTAGAATCGAGCTTCGTCTTTCTTTCTACTTTTTTTTTTTCTCTCTTCTTCACCAGAACGCTATTCTAAATCTGTCGATCTTACGTATCTACGAAGTTATTGTGTCTTTCAGTCGCCTTAGATTATTTCGAATTCGTGATAAATCGCATAAATCTTTGTTTTGACGTTGTTACGAGTGAACCTGATCGAGATTACACAATTACAAGCAGCACTTTCAGTGTAGCTCCAGGATTGTAGTTTGTGAATTTAGTACAATATGAACGTAAAATGTACACTCTCTCCACGAAGGTAACACAGTAGTTTTGTTCAATTGAACAGTTGTTCAGTGCGATACGATGGTTCATCCCAAAATGGAAAGAGAAGAATATAATCGCAAAGAATTTCAATATGAACATGTATCTATGGTTGTTTCTGCTCCCTTTCGATATACATACACCCCTTTGTGTCTTACTATTTCTTTGTCGAAGCATGAAAAATGTGCAGATTTAATAATTATTCCAATCGATAAATTTTGTTGAAATATTAATTGTTATATATATAACTGCGACATAGTGTAACACTAAAGGTCCGAGGGTGTTACTTAGATCATGCTTTCAAATTGTAAAATCACTTTGATCTGTATAAAATGTCACAGTCCTTTTGGAAATTTAATTTTACATTTGGAATTGTATTAATAATTAATTCACATTTTCCCCTGGGACCATTGGACACAATATCGATTAACTGTCTTGTTTTTCGTTCACTATCTCTATTTATTATTTAGAAACATCTATTTTGTGCTCACATTCGGTTCACCGTTCAAAATAATTAAGGAGTTATTTATATGAAAGCGTAGAAAAATATTGATTTAATATTAAGTAAACAGAAATTTATTTTTTTATTCATATGAACGTCTTGTTTGTTATTTTGAACTGTGTTAGTGTACAATCATGTTTCATTCATTGATTGATCCTTCACGTGTATTATATATATTTAAGATAAACATTCCTTTCCCTCTTGTACATAAGATATTCATTCTATTAAGAAATGTTAGTTACCTGTAACTAATTGTTCCTTTAGTATATTTCCCAAAATTAGTATCTCTGTGCAACTGAAATAATTATTCAATTAGTGTGCAGCAGAACTCCATTTATCTATTAACAATACGAAAATATGAACAATTTGCAACGAAAAGTTCCTCAAATTATAATATCATATTTTTTAAACAGTACACTCTTGATTTCCACTTTTCCACTATCTTAACAATTTTCTAAAGAATGTCTCATCTCTGCAGATAAATGGAATCTACTGTATCACACATGTCACTCCTTTCACTCCCATTGCAAATAGTGTGACGATGTTGAACAGCAAAAATTTACCCTTCACCCCTAATTTTCAATTAAATATGTCACGTAGAAACAGAAATTCTCAATGTTGGCTTAGTACAAACCGTGTTTCAATATTGAGTAATACAAATTGGTCCTTCACTTCCACTCCTAATATTCGCCCCTAATTTTTCATTAAATACAGGGCGATGCAAAACCATTCCTGACACTTTTATTACTTTTTTACAAATCAGAGGTTTGAAAAGGGAAAAGAAAATTTTTTATTTAGTACTGAGAAAATGGAATGGAAATGTAAATAGTTGAACACGTTATTTATGAAGTGTATCCTCCCTCTTAACGGAACAAACACACTCCTTCCACGTTTGAAATATTAAAAAACGAAAAGAGTATAAATACTGTAGTATATTTTGTGCATTGTTATCACTCCTGATACAGTGAAAATTCTCCTTCAATTTAATTTCCCCCCTTTTCTTATTAGTAGATGTTTATCATTTCCTCGTTTCCTCCGAATTTACGTTATTTTACCTACAAACAAATCCACGCCACATTTGAGAACGTGTCAGGTGGTTCAGCGTCACCCTGTATATCACGGTAGAGCTAAAGCACCCCCTCTAAATCGCATTCATCAGTGTTCCACCTTTGGAAGTCACTTGACCGGAGAGTTTGTTGCAGGCAGACCCAAACAGTGTCGACCCCGAAAAGCTCTCCCCCCCCAAAGTGAAGCACCAGGACCGTAGTTTGTCGGTGCAGTCCTCTTTGCAGGATCTGCCTTACGGCAGCAACACGTCGCTGTGCTTGACCGCGTCCGACGAGGGGTCCGACGACAAGCAGCATTCAGGTAGCAACTAACCTCCGGCCACGGCCGCACTGATCGCGGCCGTATCGGACGAGCCTCGACGCGAGGAAATTCCTATTAACGATGCGGTCTCGCACCCGCTTGAAGGTAAAAACAGCATAGCTGAGCAGGAAACGGGGGAGCAGCAGCAGCACCAGCAATGGCAGCAGCCGAAGCAACAGGGCGAAGAGGAGGATCTTCAGCGGCTGATCGAGCAAAGGAGTCAGTTTCAGCAGATGAGACAGGAAGAGGAGCTGAAAAGAGCAGCAAACGAATAGGCAGGAGGAGGAGCTGAGGAAACAGGAGATGCAGGAGGAGTTCGAGAGACGGCAGAAGGAACAGTTGAGGAAGAAACAGGGGTCGGAGGAGGCGAAGCAGCAGCAGCAGCAGGAAGAGGAGTCGAAGAGGCAAGAGGAGAAGCAGCAACCAGAGGAAGCGAAAAAGCAGAGGGAAGAAGACCTGGAGAAGTTACTGCGGAAGGAAACGTTGAAGAAGAAGGAGGAGGTGAAGGAAGGGAAACGGAAGGAAAGCTTGAAGAAGAAGGAGGTGAAAGAGATGCAGAGGAAGGAAACGATGAAGAAGAAGGAACAGAGGGAAGATGCGAAGGAGATGCAGAGGAAAGAAACGACGAAGAAGAAGAAGGAGGATAAAGATGACATGAAGGAGATGCAGAGAAAGGATACACTAAAGAAGAAAGAGGAGAAGGAAGACATGAAGGAGATGCAGCGAAAGGATACGTTGAAGAAAAAGGAGGAGAAAGAAGACATAAGGGAGATGCATCGAAAGGATACATTAAAGAAAAAAGAAGAGAAGTATGACATAAAGGAGATGCAGCGAAAAGATACGTTAAAGAAAAAGGAGGAGAAAGAAGACATAAAGGAGATGTATCGAAAAGATACCTTAAAGAAAAAAGAGGAGAGAGAAGATATAAAAGAGATGCTACGTAAGGAAACATTAAAAAGGAAGGATCAGAAGGAGGATGCGAAGGACCTTCAGCGTAAGGAGACATTAAAAAGGAAAGAGCAGAAGGAGGATTCAAAAGAGCAGCAACAGAGGGACAAACCGAAGAAGAAGAAGCAGAAGAAGTCTCCGAAAGAGCAACACCAGGAAGAAAAAATGATAATAGAACAGAAGGATCCGCAACAGCAGATAGGCAAAGAGGAATTGTTGCAGCAACAGGTAACAAAAGAGCAGCTTCAGAAAGAGGAAGAAAAAGAAGCCGCTGTAAAGGACGAAGAAAAATTGCAGCAGCAACTGGAACAAGAGAAACAATTCCAAGAAGAGCAGAAATGGTTGAAGCAACAGGAGGAGGAAGAACAGCGACGAATTCGCGAGGAGAAGAAGTTGCAACTGCAGCTGGAGGAGTTGAAGACACAATGGTCGCAGCAACAAGAGTTGATGTTCCAAAGGGAAGAAGTAGACGTCTCGTTGCAGCACGAGATACAGAAAAGAAGATACGAGGAACAATTGGAGAATCAGCAATTCCAGCAACTGCAGTTGCAGCTGGAGGGTCGGAAGCCTCAGGTAGAAAATAGGCTGGAACAACGACAGGTGACGGAACGAAGGAAATCGAAGAAGAGGAAAGAGGAGAGGGTGGAAATTAGGGTGCACGAAGCGGAGCCGCAGACAGCTCCCGCAGAGGGCGTAACTGGCCTCTATATAAAATTAGTTGTGAGACAAGAGGGTCGAGCAAACTTGGTTTGGCTGTTGAAAACGCACAAATTCTAAACGATTTATTTCTTCGCTACTCTCCGTTCTAATTTGTCACCGTTGAAACCTACGGTTCGCTGATTTTCACGGTGGACAGAATTGTCCCAAGATCATTCCTGTCGTTTAGGTTGTCCTATGAGACATTACGAGAATCTTTGTGTTCACGGACGAGGTTTCGAATACTTTAGCTAAAGATTTTTATTGCAATGAACGTTTCAGCTGGGGGAAAGTGTGCACAGCTGTTTAAGCTAAGTGCGGAGACGTTCTCACTCATGGTTGTTGTTAATAAGAACGAATGTCTGTGCGTAGATAAGGTGCGTGCTAATTAGTCGAGTGATTCGATTTGGTTTACGTTAATTATTAGTTTATGAACATTCTCGATTCGTACAGCCGTCTATGAGTTTGTAGTCCAAATGGAGGAACGTTCTTCTACGTTACGCTGCTCAAAATTGTCGAAGAATGATCCAACTGTTGAAGACTTTCAACGTTGAGTCCACCGCATTTTTGATACTTGAAACGTTTGATTTATTCTAAGGAAAAGAGGAAAGAAATTGTTCAGATGTTGATAAGGTAATTCGGCAATTATCTTTCAGCGATGTACTCAACATTCGACACCGATTTCACGTGTATTATTTTACCGCCGACACGTTGACGACTACTTATACAATAATTTACACGTGCTGGCTACCTCTCGAGTTTTTCAGCCGCGTCTTGATTCTAATAATTATCGATTACACGGTGTCACGCAATGACGGAAACACGACTTTCGTCAACATCAATCAAAGTCCTCGCTTTCCTGTCGAACTACCGCCACTATATTGCTCCGTCGACTTTTCTACTATCCTCCGTGCACTTATTACAGTGCCACGCTGTAGCAACTCGAGAACATCGGCTATCAATTTTTTACCAAGCATCTCGAACATCCATTCTATCGCTTGAAAGAATACCTGAATCGTTCGTTAAGAGAGATTCCATCTCACAAGTGATAATAATTGAAATTCTAAGTAATGCTACTCACAGAGTATCGAACGGGAAATAAGAAAATGGGGAGAAAGTGAAAGAAAGGAAGACAGAAAAATATGGACGTTATTGTTGAACAGTTTTACTATACACACGTTACATATCCGTCGATTATCATGAATCATGTTGAAAAAAACTGCAAATAACTATATATATATATACACACACATATGTACTTATATTTGACAATGGATTAGAGAGAATCAACGTGCATTCGTGTTTGTTGATTTCCAGTGAGGTGTTCGAGAGCTGTGGACGATGATTTGACAGATGATAAACTGTTTTCCTCCTGATACATCATTTCCCTCTTGCTTTTCGAATTTCATTTTCACGCCTCGGGCTTTCAAACGATGCGAGACAGCGTTTATTCCAAGAGAAACACGACGAGAGCAATTTTTCATCTCAACGTTCGATGATGCATTTAGAAAAAGTTTGTCGACTTTTATTTGCTATCATTTACCTACCACGAGATATTTTGAGAGATAAATTATCGTATTTCTACTGTGTTCCCTTTATACTTTTACTACAATTTTTATGTGGTTTTCATGGAGATCTGTCGTGATCGAAGTATACAATTTCAATTTGCTGCTTTAGATTGTACTTGAAGGAAATTATTCTGTTGTTACATTAAAGCTGCCTGTTATCATAATTATTATTAGCAATGATAAGTGCATTACGGTTGACATATAAAGAATTTTACATGGGTGTAAGGCTCTGAAATCGTGCTAGATACCCCCATATACTTAAATTCTTGCAACGAGAAAATGTTTATGAAACTATGAATATATAAAGTAATATTAAGTAATGTTCAACACACGGCGAGAAGAGAAATGTCTCCAATGACGAATTTTGAATACTTTTTTTTTCTCTGATTTTACTGAATATTCAATTTTTCATTTCCTTTCAAATTCAATTATGATTATACCGTACAGAAATATTTTTATTACACAACGATCATCATTTCTTTCTTAAAGAAAACAAATCTGAGGTGAAAATTAATATAACACAATGTACGATATATCTCGACAAATTTTTTCACAGAAAAGAAGTAAATATTACATCACAGAATAATAATTAAACAATACTATTATTTTTTACACATTTACAGTATTACTTTTCCGTATAAACTTGTTATTTTAAACAGGAACACGAATTATCTTCAATTTGACGAAAAATTCTATTTAAAAAAATCATTCAATTTCACGCTGCTGACATTTCTCTTCCCAGCTATCGCTCCTAAGTTACTTGTTTAAGAAATGAAACAGAGTATCTATTAAACGTTGTTGATCGATGTAATACTCATCATTGGTACAAAGCAGAACGACAAATTCCTGATTCGCCGAACGCTAAGCTCCCATGGGTTCACGCAGAAATAGGAGGGAAGAAAAGAGGAGAGCTACGTACAGAGAATTAATTTGCAATGACAGAACGAGGAGGGAGAAGAGTAATTAAATGAACGTTCGCGCGACATTAACGCGTTTTTCGTACCTCGAGAGCTTCGAAGACTTCACGTCGAGTTAGTTGCTACCGATTAGCAAGAGAAACGATGCGCAAATCTGTCCGTATGTTGAACTTAACAGGTAAAACGGTGTACCTATGTAAAAATGATGTCGCAAAACGCGATTGGTGTCTTCTGTACGATCACGAAAGTTCCTGGAGAAAACTTGAGAAATAAATGAGGTGGATGTTCTATTTGTCTTCTCAATCATCATACGTTCCAATTATTATGTCTCGTGTTTGACAGAGTTTCGTTACAACGTTGGAGAATTCACTAACGAGGGAATTTTAGGCGATTGGAAAATTCCGAAAAATTCGATAAGGAAAGAATTTTTTGTTTCGACAATGAAACTGTTCCGAGGGATGAAAATATTCCCTCGAAGCAATTGTGAGGTTCGTATTCTCGCGAATAATCGCAAAATCGTACAAGATGTGGAGAAAAAGGTAAATTCAAAGTTTTGTGGTTTTTGATGGTCTATATTTTGGTGGTAAGAAATTTCCGAATAACATTATTCTTTCAAAATTTATCCCTACTGTTCCTTTTTCGAAAATTCTTTGCCACTGTAGTACAGAGAATCAAAAACTACGCAGCTTTTAATTCAACATTTTGCCATATCTTGCACGATTTTCTAATTGTTCACGATAATTTGAACGTTCTTGAACGATTTTTGAATACTCACTCGAGCGTGTCTTTTCACCTCTCAGGACTGTGTTTTATTGACGAAACAAAGAATAGTCTCGTTATTAGCGTCAATTGAACTAAATATCTGCAAAGTTTGAAATTTTTTGCAATAGTTTCGTATTTTGATAATTATAAGTCTAACTCGGTTAATTATTCCTCTACTTTATTTAGACATTCGTTGAAAATTATTATACCGTAAATCTTCAGAGTGAAATACGTAATGGAAAATTTCTTTCTCTTTTTACAGTTGAATTGACAGAATTTAAGTTGACACTGCAAAGATACATAACACTGTTAGTACAAATGAATTCAGGGGAACTTTCGCGAGGATCTCGCACGTAATCTATTGTGTACTGCCTGTTGAAACGATTTGGCACGAACGCGAGAATAATCGAACGCTCTTAATAATCATTGAAAAATGATCACTTCGTTAAAGAAATGAAGAAAAACGAATATATTCTGCTACGAATAATAGCCGACTTAATTGTTCATTTCTGTGAAAACTTCGTGCAAACTTTCCGCAGTAAATCGCACACACGATGATCGAAGATTCTGGTTTGTGTTCAGCGAGAGAAAAGAATAGTCTATTGTACATAATTGTGACGATTTCAGCGCAAACTTGGTACCTCGCAAGCTGCACTGCTTTTCGTTTCGATAGAGAGAACTGTGAACTTCTCGCTAATTCCTTGGTAATCGTGTATCATAGCATTGCATAATTGTTAAAAAACGAAAACAGAAGAAAGAAATCTAGTGAAGTAAGAGCAATTCAAAGGGAGAAAATTCTGCTTCGATTTCGTCGTTCTCCTTTCGTACAGCGTTGACAATACTTTATTCCTACGACACACGTGTCTTCTATCTCAGGCTGAATTGATGGAAATATATAAAACTATGATGGAACGATAATAAAATGTTGTAAATTGTAAGACTACTATTTTTCTTTCGCTATGTTTCGAAAATTTATTGCAATTTACTGTTCGATGCATCAAATTTGTCATAAAACGAAGTAATGCTTCTATGAAAATTGTTTTAGATATTTTAGAAATATGTGGCAATTATGGTGATTGTAATTTTGCAAATTTTCCAGGATTAATGTGCAGAGAAATTTGAATGATTTTTGAGAGGTAAATTCGGTTCAAAGGTTTGTCAGGATTTGAATATTTCGATGAGTAGGTACGTACTTTCGCAATATTCAGTTTCGAGATATTCTCTGTGGAGTATTGAAATCAAGATCTTTCGAAATCAATTCGATGTAGATATAGATCGTTACCTTATCTTATCTTCATCACAATTTATTTGTGTGGAATTATACTAATTTATTACACTCTTCAATCCTTTTTTAAATTACCTTGGATATTGTAATGCAATTTATACGAACTTCGTTTGAGACTGATTACATTATCAACGATTTCAATTACGTGTTCGATGTACTTCGTATAATTTGTTCAATTTTTTTACGAAGAACTTGTACATTCTTCTAATGATACAAAGTAACGAAACGAATTCTTCTCGACAGCATAAGTCAATTCCTAACAAGCAACAAATTTTAATTGGCAAACGAAAAGAATTGAAAAAATCTGTGAACACGTTTTGTATCATTCACACAAATTACAAAAATAAAAGAATAATAATAGAGTAAAATGTGACACAAGGAAGTTAGTAAATCAATTCTTGATAAATCACAAATTTTAATTGCCAACTGAGGAGAATTGAAAATTCTGTGAACACGTTTTTTATCACTGACATAAATTACAAAAGTAATATGAACGAGTAAAGTGCGATACAAGAAAATTAATAAATTATTTATAGCCAAACAAAAAAC